TAATTTCTTTACCTTGTCTGCTATCAGTGTCGTGTCATCTGCGTACCTCATGCTGTAGCCTAAGCATCCTATACCAATCCTGAACGTACACCATCCATAGGTTCAAACGTATGAACACATCTATCATAAAAGTTTGTACCTCAAGGAAAATCATTAAACATGTTTTGCATGCAATACCCTTTTTCTCTTTTACATCATTGGGTTATGGATTTACTTATCTCTTATATTAATGGTCAAACCTTGTGCATAGGCGGTTGTATCGGTTTTCAAAACCGGGAAAAAAATAACAGGAAGTAAACAAAGGTGTTTGCAGCAACTGAATTCAAAAGCCAAACAACTAAAGAGAGAATGATACTAACTTAGACCATCCAACCATACTGTCAAGTATTCTTGAGTATTTTGTTTGCTATTATAGTTGAAGATAATGTGAATATTTCAAGGAAGAAATGATGACATTAAGCAATATGGCAAAGTGAATTGGTCCACACGACACAGGATATATTTGCTAATGTATGTTCAGTCATACATCCATCCATCCATATTATATTTCTTAAATAAGTTTCGTTGAACAATAATGATAAGGTGTGTCGATCTAATTTTTTCTTTAACTTTCATCGTTCAGTTTTTTGTGTTTTTTTTCTTCTTCTTCACCAACACCCCTCCACCACTCTGCAGTACTTTCGAATGTTGCTACATCTGTTGTTAAGAAATTTGTTTTTCTTTTTTTTTTGTTTGTGAAACTCATTGGCTAATTCCAACATTCGCTCGTTTACTGGGAGCATTTTCACAGCAGCAATGTAGCAACAATTGAAAGTACTCGAATTGGGGGGGGGGACAAAAATTTTGGAAAGTTTGGTGACTCATTTAAAATTTCGAAAATTTACTTAGAAGTTTGGATAAGAAGACCTTGTTGATATTGTTCAGTTAAAACTCTTTAAAAGAATTCTTGCTGTCTAAGCATACTATATATATATATATATATATATATACACACACACAAAGAGGGTGATGAAAAGGCTACTGTCTGATTAATCTATTAATGCTTATTTTAGAGGCAGCATTAATGAATTATTATAAACAAAACCCTATAATACCAGATTTGTTATAAATAGGTAGTTCCAAAGAAAAGCAATGTGTGTGGGGGGGGTATTATACATACATACATAGACACAGGGTGAGATGGGTAAATTGTCGCCATTTTATATTTTTAATTTTGTTTATGCACTTTTTATTTTTTATTTTGTTGACTTCACAGTATAGTAGCGTCACTTGGGCAGCATATGTGAGAAAAAGAGCACCGTGACGCAATTCACTCCACCAGAAATTTGGAAATGGCCTGCTGTACTGCTCGACATCTGCACCAGAAGCTCCAATACAAACATTTCAAAGTGTTTGGGTGTCAACTGAGGATAGTGCAGAGGATTCAGAAAGGGTGGGATGAGTCTAATGGTGATTACAAAAGGTGTTTGGAGTGATCAATAGTGATGGCAATGTTATGCTTCCATTCATCTCACAGCGCCTCAGACTCAACATGGAGGCCTATGTCAAGTTCCTTGAGGAGATAGTGCTCTGACTGAAATCCCCTTGATTATGTGTGCAGTGCAGCTGAGTGATGGAGCAACAAAATTCCTTGTAACAAAGATGAACTAAAGGCAAAGATTATAGCAGCAATCTGGAAGATTCGCAGGAAATTCCAAAGTTGTCTGGAGGCTGTGGTTGAAGCAAATGGTGGTTTTATTAAATAAATTTACTGTTTAGTATTTCAAGATATTTTTGTATAATTTTGGTAAATATATATATATATATATATATATATAAATAAACGAGATGTAAGTGTTATTTTCATTTTTGTGTAATTTAGATGACAATTTATCCATCGCACTATATATATATATATATATATATATATATATATATATATATATATATGTGTGTGTGTGTGTGTATATAGATTAGAGAGAGGCAGGGTACCACCAAAAAAAAAAAAAAAAAAAAAAAAAGAAACACGATACCTAAGATTCAAAATGAATTTTTGAAAATGAAAAATCCTTGATGCTTTTTATAATTTAGTTTTAATTTCAGGCTAATAGATTATTAGATTTAATATTTCCAATAAACAAATACTTTGCCATATTTTGAACTAAATTTTAATTGATTGGAATTTTTTTTTTAAATTACTAAAAATGGCTGATTTTAGCCATAGTTACAAATCTCTCAGCACAATGTAATTCTCTTTATTAAGAAAAAAAATCTTTCAAAAATAAAATATACTTTTCTGAAACTTTATTTGAGGAAGATTAACTGATTTAATGTTTAATTAATCTCATTTAAAACAAATATTACTTCAATTTAAAATATCACAGAAATATATTTTTAACATGTAGCTGAATGTTTTTATGCAGTATTGACAAATATCTTGACAGGCTCATGTTTGTGAATTTTTTCTATGGAGGACATATCTGTAATAATTACTTGGCAACTATAATGGGAATGCCTTTTTTATATAATTTTTATAACTACCAAGTAACCTTAAAAATAAGTAATCCAATGTTTTATCGAATTTTAGGTACTTTGCTTTAAATTTACAATAGTTATCTCCTATATTTTCTGATAATATCGTGTATGGACATCCATATTTACAAAAATCTGCACATTTAACCACACAAAAAAAATTTGAAATTCTTTTTAAAATACTGGGGTTTACTGAATTGTAGTAAACATTTCCATTTATGATTAGTCATTTTTTTAAATTTTTTTTTTTTAGTAACAATATTACCTAACCACTACAAATTAATACAAAATCTTAAGATTTAAAATTTTACAAATTATTCTAATTAAAAATTTAGAAAATAAAATAATTCTTGTAAAAATTCATTACTTATTGAAAAATTTTTTTCTTATGTCCATAAAAGCAATTAAAAGCTTTTCTAATTAAATAATGTCTCAGTTTTATTGCATTTTTGTTTTATGATTCAAAGCAGATTTTCTGTAACTGGGATCCCGTTTTACATTAAAAAAAAACAATATTTAAATTCTCCAAGGACTTGTGTTTATAACTAATGTAAAGTTTAAGTGCTAAAGAATAGAATTTCTCAAAATTCCATTAAATTAAATAAGTGTGCGTGTGTGTGTGTGGAGGGGTAATATATATATATATATATATATTCATCAAGATTTTCTCAAAAAGAAACATTTCTTGAATAACTTCTTTCATTTGTGAAGGAGTCCTGAAAGTTTCATTAAAATCCGACAATTATCTGATTTTTGCAAAAGATTCCAATTAATGTGTTTTTCGTGCAAAAAGAACCTAAAATTTCTCAGATTACTTTATGGGCACCCGATGATACAAGAAAAAAGTTTTAACTAATATTTTGAAGGTTTTAAAAAATATTAGAAAATATAATTTTAAAAAATCTTTTTGGTCTTTGCTCTTAATAATAACAAAGATTTTTACAATAAAACTGTTTTTATTAATTTTGGGGCATTTTTTAATAATGTATGCTCATTTTGTAGTGAATATTTGAAGGTTCCTAACTATTCACTTATCTTCAATACTATATATATATATATATATATATATATATTTGGAAACCTACATTTTGATTTTTATAATGAACACCAGATTTTAAAGTGGGCATTAATGCATTAAGACGAGATTCCTAAAGAATTTGTATGTTTGTTCATATTATGCAATGAGTTTAAACTGACAACTTTTAACCTCCACCCCCAGGGGGTGTTGTAGACTGCTGAAAAATTCTTGGTCTAATTTACTTCCTAAATTCTGAATATACATCATTTTATTTATTTTTTTTTTTTTTTTTAAAAAAAAAAAAAAAAAAAAAAAAACAAGGTGCTGAAAAGCTTTTGACCTATATATTGTTTTTTTTTTTTATTTCCTTAATTCCAAAGCGATTTTATTTGCTTTGCTTATCTTCGCCTTTTAACAAGTCCACTTCTGGTGGTGGGGAGGTGGGAGAATTCTTTTTCTTTTTTAAATAAGTAAATAAATAAAATTAAAAGAAAATGTTCAAATAAAACAGAAAACAATTTGGGGAAAGATCTTTTATATATATATATATATATATATATATATATATATATATATATATATATATATATATATGTATGTATATGTATAGATAGATAGATATATGTATATATACATATATTTCCAGTCAGATTAAATTATAGAGAAAGTCTCTGAGTCTTTTGAATAATTTGTTTTTTAAATTAAGATTTCGTTTTGTCTGTTTTTCTTTTAATAAAAACAGTGACGACCTTTTGTTTTCTTTGCAAAAAAATAGATTGAAAAATAAAATAAAAAAAAAAGATGAAAAAGGCACTTTTGTTATTGAGTGATATGATTTTGATAAAAAAAAATAAAAATAAAATAATAACTCTGTAAAAAATAATAAATAATGCTGTTCATTTTGTTTCCTTGGTTTTGTCCTGATTTTCTTGTATCATCTTGAGTCTTTTGCATGGCACAAGCCATAGTGTCCAGCTATTGTTGGGCACGTCATTAAGTTGATATATAAAAAGCGGGGCTGTGGGAGCAACATTGGAAATGGTTTTTAAATAGGGCCTCAATTTGACTGCTTCCAATATGACCCGTTTATTTCATTTGTTGTCTGGCAATGTTTTTTCTTCCTTCTCTCTCTTCTGATAGACCAATCAACATCTCGAGAATTTGAAGCTGAGACAATTGACCGAGTCAGTAGGAAGATTGTGCAGTGTGAATCTCTCCATGAAAAGTGGAGAATCTGTTGCAAATTTCAAACCAGCCTGAGTCAGCTGGAGTTAAACTAACTGGTAGGGTTGCAGTTAGCGAAGTTTCGCATGCAACAAGATAATATCCCAAATTGATAAAAACGTAATTTTCATCAACACAATCATGACTGACAACAACAACAAATAATAATAAAATAACAATCATTATAATTAATGATCGCTGTTATTATTATTATTAACCATAATAAATAATTAAAATCAAGGTTCCT